TGTTTAATACGGAGAGAGTCCACCTTGGCAGGGCAATCTAAGCGACAACTTTTTAATACGTCGTCGGAGTCTTACTACTGTACTAGATAAAATTAAAAATGAAAAATTGGTTGACACCCATTGTTAGGCAGTGGGACTCATTGTGAACTGATCAATTACGAGTTATCACGTCGTGTTTATGAAAGGAAGATAGTTTGGGCAGTGAGATTCATTGTGAACTAACCAATTATGAACTACTACGTCGCATTTGTGAGAGAAAATTAATGACAATGGTTTGTTAGTGTAGTATTAACCATCACCCACTTTTCTTATACAAGTCAATAATTCGGACATAGCACTAATTTTCAAGGAAGCAAACCGGACGGTGTTGGCAATTTTTAAGGATTATAACGCCTCAGTCACAATTTAAAATATGGAGGTTCCTCTTTAGATCAAATAAAGGTAGAAAAACCAATTTTGATGTTGGAAGTTGATTTTTGTTTGATTTGAAGGTTTGCTCTTATTGGAAATTGTAATTTGATTCTTTATTTTAAAAAACATCTAGAGAATAATTGAAAAGCTAATTACTTGTATTGGATTATATGTATTCAAAAACTTGAGAGGGTAATATAATATTTTTGAAATTTTGATTAGTAAAACAGAAATGTAGCTTCAATATTTACTTCATGGGCATTATTTATAATGAGTGTCTTTAGTAAGGCCCAGTCCATCATAGGCTTGGACCATTTGATATGTAAGCCCCTCTTATTGGGCGGTATCACGCATTGTCTTGCGAGGAAGTTTATGTATCAACTGTCAATTATTCTGGTATATGTCGGTAAGTGGATAGTTAAATTTATGGAGGAAGAGGCTTTAAATGATTTCCAATTAGGGAGAATACATCTATGAATCTTATAATATCCTTATGGACAACATATTGTACTGTATATGAAGATTAGTAGGCCTCTTTTGACTCTTGCATCCCTACATCACTTATGTAGTATAATTGATAATCTATTATTTCTGCTTCCCAATAATATAAGGTGTTCTACGTAATTGAGAAAGTTGTAAATAAAGCCTATTGCATATTTTTATTGAAAGTTGTAAATAAAGCCAATTACATATTTTCCAAAGGCAATGTGGACGTGAATGTAATATCCAATTTATCATAAAACATGAAAAAAATGGTTTCCTTCTACTTGTCTATAATTTCATGCCATTATTTGTATTTAACCTTGTCACGAGTTTTTGTCTCTACCCACTAAAAATGTGAACATAATTGAAAGTTGTACTCATCATGTTTTGCATAATTTTTTATGTCCCAAAACAAAACTTGAACTTAATGCGGAAATTGTTTTGTTACTAATTTCATAGATTGTTGGAAGAAAATTTATTACTATTGTATATTCTTATTTGGTTTTAATCCAATGGTGGACGCCCAATACCAATAGTAATTAAATAGCCATACGAATGTTAAAAAAAAAAAAATGATGATGGAAAATGTTTGTATAGATGACAGCCAACTAACTTGATGTTCCAAATCATGCAGTTAAGTCAATGTTGGTCCCTCCAAACAAAAACTCATTTTCACCATTAACACTATCCCCTTACAATGAGCTTATATAAAATCGCTAAATCACCATGTAGATGCAGAGTTATTAATCAAATTCCCACCATTTAATGTCATCCAAAATCTGTTATATTCTTAGCAATATGGTTTACATAAAAATAGGTTGATTCATATTTTATGGTCACCTTTTGAAGATGGTTAATAATTACACAATCTTTGAGATTCAACCATATCTATATAGATTTGATTTATATTAATATATTAATAGTACGACATTAACCATATTTTAGAATACCTAAAATATGAAACAAAAAGTTTTTAACAATTTTTTTATAAGATTATGTGATAATTAAATAAAACATTGTTTGTTCGTCATTGCCATCTTGTAATTCCATTGGTCACACCACACCTAAACACGCTATTATTTGGCTTCATGATCATCACCACCTATGTCAACCACCACTCAAAAATCAAATTACTTGACAGTTTTTAGTTTGGACTGAGAACACACTTTCGTAATAGATATCAACTCATAAGGGTAATAATTGATAAGAATTTCCAAATTTTTATATAAACTAAGACGAATAAACTTTGTGAAGCAAAATTAACTTAACTTTAGTGTGAAACACATAGTGAGTGACCCCATTTTTAAGCCAACCAAACTACATGTTGTTATAGTTTATCATTATGATTACCATATTTATGAATTATGTATACATAAATTTTTAAATTAATGTTTACTGCCATATGATTCATGAACATTTATGATAAAAATTTATGGGAAAGAGTAAGGCAAAATGGGAGTATAATCCATTATACCCACAAGGCTACGCAGTTGCAAAAATTATTACACCAGTGAAGCTAAGACGAGGAGATGATGAGCAGAGAGAGGTAGGTTTCCAAAAACCAATTAACGCAATTAAAGCAAAGCTGCATCTTTCTCTTTGGGATGATACATAAACATAAATGCTTATTTGATTGAACAAAACCAACATCCCCTATCTATTATCTCTACCCCATCCTCCATAAATTAATGCAATTTTAATACCTCCACATTTGTCTCCGTGAGCTTTTTCACCATTCTTGTACCTTCTTAAATTAATATTCCAACCTCCAGCATTGAAGTTGTTGGGTAGTTGGAGCTTTTAATGCTGCTACTTCAATGCCATCACCATTTCCCATCTCTCTTTGTTCTTTTGCTACCTTATTAAAGACATTTTTTGTGTTTCTCTCTTTGTATTTTCATCTTCACGGTGCCTTTAATCTCTTCTCATCATCCTGATTTCCAGCAGTGAAGTTGAAGATCTTTGTCAGTCGCTCTCTCTTTGATACTGTAAACATTATTGTAGCTACCCACCAACCAAAATTTCCATGTTCTTTCATCTTTGAAAGATCAGATATGCTTTGGAAGTTTGCATGTGGTTTCTGTATCTTTTGTTTATGTTATTTTTGTTTTGTTTTCTATAACAGATGAATGCAAGATGGTATCTCGAAGAGAATGGATCAATTTAACGGGATATTGGTCCGGTTCAATGAGAAAACAGTTGCTCAATATATTTTGGGTCCTGCTTTTTGATTGAGCCGTGCCAATATCACGTGCCACTGCTCTCTGAATCCTCCTCTTACTTTTCCAGCACCACCGTTATGATTTCATAGGTAATCACTTTCTGCATGAAGTCTACGCATCATTTGGTTATATATAGTCTGCTTAACTTCTTAATCAGTGGCTTCATACTGGAAAAAATGCTGAACAGAGAAACTCTACACCCTTTTCATTTTTTTGGTAATATTTCTTGACAATCATGAACCAATATTTGGAATTTGATAAGTTGAAACTCTGTTACTAATTCCGGAATGCGAAACTCTATTACTAATTCTTGAATGTTGTAACGTCATTATGTTTTTATTCTCATTTTTGGTTTCCTTTCTTGCGTTACCCTGCAAACAAACTAAAAGGAAACAACTTTTACTGATTGAATATCTTGTAATGGGTTGGATTAAGTTGACTGAAAGAAATCCAGGCATACTTTCGGTGTTGAAAGCACAAGTAGGTTTAAAACACAAAGAAGGGAATCTGTTTTATGGAAAAGTAAATGTTGTTTACACTGCAGTAGTATTGAACCAAGAATTTCATGCAAATTCTCTGCAAGTAATTGCAAGAACTGCAGCAATGATGACCGTTTTCACCGATTTCTCCCAGCATAATAATAGTGGTACCTACAAGCTTTTAGTTGAAAAGATTTGTGACTAACTTGTGATGGGAAGTAGATGACATTTGAAACTGTGTTTAATAGTTCTATGGTAGACCTCCGGCAGTAATATAATATGATTTTCATCATCATAAATGAGATTAGGAACTGTATTTCATGTTTCATTCCGGCTTTGATATTGATTTACATTTCTCTGTTTGAAGAAAAATCATACTGATTCTGAAATGTTTAAATGAGAAACATAAAATTGTGCTCTTGTTCATTTTCTTGTGTTAATTATTTTATACCAATAATGTTATACATACAAACTATACACTAATTATTTTCACTTTTGAATAAATTCCAATTAATTTCTTCGAAAACTCCAAAGTGAAGGTAAAAGACATTAAGAGAAGTAATTGGACAGGTCATGTCAAGGTGGGCCCATTCTAGGGTTGTGCTCAATTTGAAATTGGGCTCTGGTCTAGTCCAACGCGTCTGTATGATATGATAGAGAAACTGTAGTCCCTTTAGGTGGCTCTATCAGGGTAACATTACAGATTTACAATAGCATTTCCCAGTCTAAAATTATTACAAACAGCTGAACACTACTGATTGTAAAATTTCTGTATATATATATATATTTACGCCTTATCCAATACCTTTTCACGGTCTCTCAAAACTCATAATTTTCATGGATTGGCATTTGGCAGCATAACACAGCAATCCAAGGATTGACTCTTTTTTTTTCCTTTAAAAAAAATAAAATGCAGGGGATCTTTTTTTAAGTACGCATATATAGATGTAAGTATGATTGATGGTCTCAGACTCGGAATGCTTTACGGTTTATAGCCTCAATTACTTCCATAAATTTATTGCCCTACGGTTAACGTTACTTTTTCTGTTCATGTCCGCTGCAACTGTTGCCATAAAGTTGTGTAGCGTAGTGTACTTGTTATACCATAAGCTATGACTACCTCACTGCGATGCAGTGTTTAACGTAACTTCAATCACTTGTAACAATGGTGACTTTGCAGCTTTTACTTGGTTTCTGCACAAGTTAAATACGATGAAATTCATTGACATTGATAGGCCGATCTTTGAGGGAAGTGATTCCTTTATTAGATAGAGAACAGAAGCTGAAGAATTAATATTATCAAACATTACATGCTTAAAGCTCCCACCTAATTGTCTTGGCTAATAAGAATATTTAACACTTGCCAACCAGAAGATTCAAAAAGAATTTGAGAAGAAGGGAGAAGGAACTGAAAAGATTTTTTGCAATTACTATAAGCTTGAAAGGCGTTGAACTGTTAACTTACAAATTGGCCCTACAAGCATCAAAGAATAATGTGGGTGGTGACGCTTCCTTTTCTTACCGCTCTCATGGTCAATCCCTTCTACTAAAATGGAACAGGACCACGAAGCGACTCTCTCAGCCTCAGCCTCTGCCTCTCTCTCTCTCTCTCTCTCTCTCTCTCTCTCTCACTGTCTTCTGTGATATATCATTCCCTATACTAGAATAAAAATACAGAAAAAGATTTGCACACCTCCTTCTCCCACTCTAATTTTGCCATCCTCCTGAGTTTGGAGGAACTCCAAATCGCCTCTTAAAATTTAGCACTCCATAAAACATTCTCACCTTCTCCGCAACGCCGATGGACCTCCTTAATCCTATCAGCAGACCTGCAAATCCCACTGCATGTCCAATCGAATGAGGCAACACAGATGTTGCCTGCCTGGGCCTTCCACTCGCAGTCTGCGGTAACAAGTTTTGCATTAAATATTCAGAACCCTTAACATACAAAATATATTATTACTATTTGCAGTCACAGCTAAGCCTTAATGTACAGAAATCTGTATTTAGTAAGCCACTGGACAATCTACTCTCATAAGTATTATTAGGTTTTAAAAGTACCAACAAGCATACAAGGAATTTCTTTTGCAGTCTGTCCATACAAAGACATAAAAAATATTTGCGTTGATTCAAGAAAGGCATAAATTAATGCAAGCAAGGAGGCGAAAAAGGGTTAGTATTCATCAGTTTAAATGGTGAATCCAGTGACAAGAAATTCTCATTGTTGCCAAGTGAGAGAGGATTTCAATTTACCACTTAACACGGGTCCCATTTGGGCTTCCATCAAGATACTATTGATTTGATTTATTAGATCTAATTATTCCAATGAGCTTTTTCTAAGGTTACATGATTATTCCAGCCTACCTTCCAAAAAATTAACAGCAGTTACATTTTTTTGATGTTTAGTCAATTCATTTTGGTGCGCAGTATATTACTTTAGGGTGTAGAATTGATATGATAGCAGCTCAACCTCCTTGTGTTGACAATTGAACCAGGAGTCTAAGCAATGCAGTAATTAAAATTTATAAACCAGACACTGTAACAATCCTTTTCCACCAATCTAGCCGAAACAACTTTGAACCATCAGAAAGAGTTTTTTCTTTATTTTATTTTTACTTTAAGCTCAAAAAATTTATGTTGTTTCATTTTTCAGGAGAACTAGGGATTTACCAGGGGGGGTGCCACAACATAGTCTCCGATCATCAATATGCTCAACGTCAAGTCCAATAAACCAAGATCCCAATGAAACATCCTCATTAGCATATCTGTGTAGAACATGCCTGATAGATATACACAATCACCATCAGAATTGCAAGAAGGCAAAACAAAGAGGCAGAGCAGATAAATAAGCGCTAATCCTATATTCAACTGATGATGAATGGAAACTTACTGGTTTATTGATATATATGTAGCCAAATCTTTTGAAATTGCATAAAGCTGTCCAGTTGCATGACGGAAATACTTGTTTCCTGCTTCACCGAATTTCCAATACTCAGGTTCATGGTATCTCACTCCCCTGTTCCATAGAAGGAGCATTTGGTAAACTAGGAAGTTATTAATTCTATAAACTCTTTAAAAAAAATTATTTAAGAAAAAAATTAGCTTACTTTTGATTAAGGACGGGACCAGATTTCATGCACCCAATATATAACCTTGGTTTTGATCGGTGTCTAACTAGTGTTTCTCCAAGTGTTGCTGCAGTAATTGGAAAGGAAATAGACTTTATGTAACAAAGAAATGCAAATTACAAAAAGAACAAATAAATTGCTTTTTCATGGCAATTAGGACCAGCAATTTATTAAGTATAGATTTTACAACTTTAAGAGAGCATATTGTTGTTACCTATATTTACATGGACATCATCATCAACTTTGACATAGAAATCTGCATCCCACAGAGCAGCAGCAGTGGCAAAATATATCTTAGTCTTGGCAGACAATTCCAGGTACCCTTCAACATGGTCCTGCTCACAAGATTGTGGTATAGAATTATTTTGGACTGAGCAGATTTCTACAAAATAGAGTAACCAGTAAAAGTACAACATGATACATGAGCATTACCAGCCTCAAGAAATCTCCATGCTTTCTGTCCTCGGCTTCAATAGCTCTGTCCAGAATACCCCCTGATGTGGCACTGTATTAAAAACATAATAAAAATAGTAAATAAATCTGTACCATAGAAACATTGAAAAATGGATTCATTAACAATGCATAATCTAACTGAGATGCTAATGTACTTGATGAACATCATCAGTTTTCATCAAATGCACAAGGAGGCATATATGTCAGCAGATTTATCAGCCATAATTGAATGGAAAAACCGTGCATTCTTAGAAATTCAGTAACTCAAAATTTTATGTGTTACATTGACTGGCAGTGCCAGCAAGCTGCAATTGAGATAAGGATCTCAAAAAGGTTAAAAACTGAGATTTTCCTTAATACAAGGGCCACAAATTCATTGTAACTTTCTAGAGGGAGCTCAGCTTGCAAAACTGCCATGAATGCATTCAAACTTAACTATCCATATTACTGTAATAAAAGGATTACCCACCTATGACCAATGACAAATCGAATAATAATGCCCTTCTCTTCTTCCAATTTCTTCCTTTTTTCACCTGTTTTCCATTTAGCGTCAATATCATAAAGAAAATTTAAATTTGACAATGTTTAAAGAAACAGGGAATCAGTCCAAGGACCTTGTGGCATCCATGTAGCACGAACTGAATCTCTTCGTTTCCGGCTGCTAAAAGCAGTATTAATTCCAACAACCATCAAATACCTTCTCTTCCCAGCTGATTCAACCTTCTTTAAGTTCTCTGATAAAGGAGAACCACTCAATATAGACTCTTGTGCTGCCCTTGCAGCAGCTAATTCCATCTCTAAATTTGAAATAGTCTTATCCAATGTCCTGCATCATAGACACTATCATAAGCTTCCATTCAGGATGCTTTAAGACAAATTTTAAGTAAAAAGCCTAAGGGAAATGAAGATAATTATAAATATGAATAAGCAGCTTACTGTATGGCATGGTGAGTCTTAAAAACTTCCCCAAAAATATCCTTAGCTTCATGCCTTACTTCTTTCTGTTGCAACTAAAAGAACCCAATCAGATTACAACAATGCCACAATTTGATAATTACAAATATAAGAAAGAGCCAATATTAACTCAAAGCATTGTAAAATATCTCAGCCGAAGGATAAAGATACTCACAGATATTGGATTACAACCCTCCGAAACTAGCTTTAGTTTTTCAGCTTCCATTGCAGTTGTCCGTGTGATGCCTTTTGATTCAGGAACTGTCCACATTCTGTTACCATCTCGACCTTATTAATAAGCTATTATGTTTTAAACCCGACAACTAAATGATTAAACATAACTCAGGAATCTTTAATAAGATTGAAGTTCAACAGTAAAACCATCTCCACAACTAAATAACTGTTTCCTAAAAGAATGTACTAGATTTAATATAAGTCAGCTAAAAATTACCGAAAATGAGGCTTAAAGAACTGAAGAGACTTTAGGAATCTAAGTTGTCAATTATTAATCATGTCCTCTTAATTTTATTTCTTTTCCCCTGACGACTCGCAAAAGATTGACTTAGAATCCAATAAGTAAACCTTTACTTTACATTCTCACTGCAATTAAACAATATAACAAAATTTGAGATAAATAAATACTCAAACGTCAATGAATTGGCAGAGGAGTAGTATTAGATGTTTAGACAGTAATTGAATCGTCATAGTCCTAAATTAGTATATTTTCAAGAAGAAACACCACTGACAAATCGAACAAAAATCCATTTCAGATCTATCCCACCTTAAAACCAATGAGCAACCCATTTACAGAACCAGCAAGACCCGAAACGACATGAAAACAATGAAATTTTAGAAAATTCACAACAGCCCAGGTAACGAAAACGTTTATATACCTGATAATATATAATTTTCTAATGGAACAAACTTTTAATGGTTCGCCAAAAAAAAAAAAAAAAAAAAAATGGTTTGCCAAAAATAAATAAATTGTAATCAGCTAAGACATAGATCGCAGAATAAGGTACTAAAATCACTTGTTCTTAAAAAGATATAAAAATTGACAAAAGCAAAGCTTAAATGAACCAATTAACCAAATCCCACAAGTAAAAGCTTTTCAATTTATTCATGAAAAATTCATATAATACCTGTTTGTGAAGAGCATACCAGCACAGAAGCATCCCAAACAAAGAAAAAAAGTCCACTTTTGTGATATAACACTTCTTGAAGTCTGCTCTCTGCTTTTCAAATACATATTTTTTTTTCTCTCAGCAACCGTTCAGCGGTATATTTCTCTACCAAAGACTATTTCAAGAAACAATCCATGTAGAAACAAAGGCCAGTAAGCAAACCAAAGGAACCTAAGGAGCAAACAAACCCCCAAGTGATCGCAGAACTTAACAGAACAATCAGAATCTGAAACAGAAAGTAACAAGATATAGAATTTTAATAAGAGAAATGCAGATAGGCAAAGTACAAGCAAACAGAAGCTGATTCTTTGCTTTGCTTTGTTTTGCTTTTGTTTTGTCCTTTATCTCTCTAGTTGACAGATGAATAGAGAGAGAATCTAAACAGAATTGAGTTGTGTGTCTAAAACTCTAAGTCTAAAGCCTTCTACTACTTTGCAGGCAAGGGACGTTGAACTGAGCAGAAATGAGAAGACCCACTAACCGCTCTGCTATGTTTTATACCAAATTACCAAACAACCCATTTCAAACACTCCTTATTTTTTTGGCTTCAGGGCTCAGTGTCAGTCAGTAACACAGTTTTTCATTCAGCGACGTGAATGCCCTTGCCCTTTTTCTTTTCTTTTTTATTTAATATATATATACAATTAGGAACATGGCTTCGTTTGGTTCAAAATTTGGGGGTTTTGGAAAAGTTTTTTGAAAAAAGTTAAAAAAAAGTTGAATTGGACGGGTTTACGAGGTAAAATTTACAAATTAATAAAATATCCTTTATTTTTGTTTTTTTTAACAAAATCCCCCCTATAATAAAACATTAAAAGTTAACAAAAATACCCCAACCCACCCTCAAACACCCCCAGCCGGCGACCACCACCGGAGGTGGCCGAGCATCCGTATGGGCGCATGACCGGTTGATCTTGCCGGTCATGCTTCGCTATGGCTTTTTCCGGCCAATCTACGGTCAGATCTGGCCGGAAACGGCCAGATCTGGCCGTATTGCTCTCAACGACAGCCAACAACGGTCGTCGTTGATGGTCAACGACGACCGTTTGTTGGCCGTCGTGACCGAGTGTTACGGCCAAAGATCTGGCCGTCAACGGCCAGATCTTTGGCCTTAGATCTGCCTTTTCTGGCCAGATCCACCGTGGTCTGGCCGGAAAAGGCTAGATCGGCCACTGCCGGCCAGATTCAGCCGTGTAGTGCGCCATTCTACCAATTCCCGGCCATTTTTCCGGTGGTGGTGGCCGGAATCTGGTAAATGTGGATTATTGGGGTGTTTTTGTAATTTAAAAAAAATATTTAGGGGTATTTAATTTAATTATCAAATTTAAGGGGTTTAAAAAAAGTTGAATAATTTTGGGAGTAGTATTTCTAAAAATCTGAATTTTTGGGTATTTTACTGTTTAACTTTTTTGGGAATACTAAAGTAGTATTCCCAAATGTTAAACAAACGCAGCCATGGTTTCTGCAAAATATACAAGATGAGTCCAACGGACAGTATTTTGGACTCAATTAATGCATTTTATGTGTGGCTCTACTCTATTTTTGGGGTTAACCCTTAACTATAATGCAGGGGTTGTAATGGAGAAAAGATTACCCAGTCAACACGTAAACCATTTAATTAAGTTGAATAAATAATTGACAATTGGGTTCACAATTGCGTTAAACCCTTTCCCATATTTGTGTCTGGGAATAGAACCATAAAAGGACTAATATATTTAATGTGCAATTAATAAGTGAGGTTGGTTCGGTTGTGGTCCTTGGGTAGATGAGTATGGAACTTAAAGTGACTAGTGCTTTCCTGAACCGTTATCATCTTTCACCGTCAAATTTTGCAGATACAAGTAATTAATGTAGTTTTCATTGAGGATTGAGTATTGAATGTCCCCTGCTTTCGTTGATGCATTCTCCCTCCATGAACATGGCTTTACACAGTTGAGGACAACAAGTTAGTAATTTTGTCATTGAAATATAGGCGCATTTCCAAGTATAGTCTGTATCATCAAATGCTATATTTATTTTTAACGCTAACCAATTTAATAAGCTAACAGATAATTTATGAAGGGCATTACATTAGTAATTTAGTAAATGATTTGCAGAAGACAAAAGCACAAACATTTTAGCAGGCCTAGTTGTTCGGTCCCTTTCAAATGTATTCTATATGACTATTTAATTATTCTAATTTTTAAATCTCAGGGAAAGTCCACTCCGTTTGTTTAATGTTTTATGTATTTGGCAATGATAAAAATAGTATACAATCGCAAATTCCAATGACAGCCAAACATGCATTATCGACACTGAAAAAAGGCCCTAATGTTTATCGTAAAGGTTCAAAACAGAACCAAGTTATAATTGAAACCCCCAATGGCAACTAAAGCTAAAGATATTATTTGAAAATTTTAAATTCCTCATTTTTTTTCTTTTTTACCAATACAGGATATTCTATATTTGAACCACTCCTTGTGGCCTGATGAAGCGAAAAATGGATTGTAGAGTACCAGAGTTAAAAGATCAAGAGATCTCGGATTAAGTTGTAACAAAGACAAAGTGTGGTTATCAATTACCATGTTCCAAAAAAAAATTCTATATTTAAAGGCATATAAGTAAAATATTTTTCTGAAATTTATGAAAATTTTCTAACTTGAGTTTATATTATATATTCTCAGGTATTAAATGTAAAATTTGCGTTTGATGGGTTAATTAGTGTAAATCCATATTAGATAATAAGTCTTAATTATAGAAATGAAAAGCAACAAGTTAGGCTGGGAATTTGGAAAAAATACGCATGTGCACGTGATTAGATCCAGAAAGATAATACGTGGCAAAGTGTAGTTGGATAAGCCACTGTACCTTGTTGTCGGTTCATGTTACATACAGCATTTAGGTCACGTGGAAGCTGCAAAAGTCTGCATGGTATCGGACCCATCTCACAACCAAGCCTGACACGTGCCATAATTTTATTTACATGCCTAAAATTTGATGTTACTTCAGCCACTCAAAAAGCGACATCAGAGTTCAGACTCTTTGGAGCCTCATAAAAGAATAATAATCCACAGAAAGTTGTTGAAATTTTGAAATATCGTGCATGTTACTGAATTTCGAAATATCATAATTTTAATTATTATTATTAAAAGGATGTTTCGTAATTACATTATAATTGTTATTAGCGTGATATTGATGGGCTTTCAGTATATTCAAACATATTTTTTATAACATAAAGTTGATAGTCATATCAGAAAAAATTGATGGCTAGTATCAATATCCTAAATAAATATTGCATTGGAGCTAAATTTTTGAGATTTATGTTCTTGGAAAATTCATCTTGGAATTAACTCCAAAAAGGTTTGATGCAAAGTTCTCCAAAGATTAATAGAACTAATTGGGATTCAAAGCTACTTGTTTATTTGGTTCAATTGTAAAGATTAAAATATTAGAATTCTGATAGGTTGATTTTAAATTTAGATCTATGATTCTAGCGAAAGCCATGATATTGGTCGGTTGGGAACTAATTAACTTGCCTAAATCTAGGCGAAAAGAATTGGATTAATATAAGATTGTGATTTGATTTATCTTAGAGTTAGAGTTAGAGCCATGTTGGTGTGGATTTCAAAAAATACTCTCTTCTTAGTACACCTTGTATCTGTATGTGGGATTCAGATGTGTGTAGCCTAGCATAGCATGTTAGAAAGTGACAATTGAACTTCAACTTAAAGGCATCTTGTCCACTTATGGTCGTCATCTTAAATTTCTTAGTCACTACGACTATTATTTAGAAGGAAACACAAAATCCTGTATTAATGAAGAAAAATATTTGATATTTAAAATGCATGAACTCAAAATATTTTCTATTTATAGGAATAAAGATATGTGTTTTGTTTTGTTTTATTTTATTTATTCCCTTACAGCAAAAATGAGATGGAATATTATGGGCGTTCCTGAAATTGTAACCTTTGAGTCCCATAATCATCTCAAGGCAAAAGGTTGGTGAGATCATTTGTTGCAAGGTTGGTGTTGTGATACACGTTTTCATTGGTTACTATTTGGTGGGCCTCATGAAAATATTAACCTGATATAATAACATTGGTAGTGACAGAAAGACAAAACATTAGCAACGTTAATTATCTTCTGGTTTCACCAAAAAGAAATAAATCATCAAGATTTATTCAAGAAACATGGAAAATAACTTATATTTTTCCATGCTCTGAGTCCAGATATTATGCCGTTTAAGTGATCTAACTAATACGAAGAGTTGAGTTGAAATTATTGTGCTTAAGTGAGGGTGACTACTGCAAATGAAAAGTGATTGTGTTGGTTAGGTCATAGGTGCTTTGCTTGTAATAAGGGTCCCTGTCGCTTTACACCACCACTTGTTGGTCATCTTAAGCAACCCCAAACCAAAGCTGCCATTGCACGAGATCTTGGGCTGGTTGGTGCAGCTGCTTTATCAGGACTTGATTATTTTAATTGGAAACTTAAAAGGGTAATTTTGTCATGAGTTTGGCATTGCAAATCTGCAACTTTACAGCATCAAAAGCCATTCCTAAAACGTTTCAATGAATCAACTTCTGTTATGCGTTAATAATGGCTCTTTTTTAAGCTGATGAGGTAAGTTACTTTATTATATATATAGGTCCATATCATAAGAGAATGATTACCGTTACTTTGATTAATTAAATGCTACTTTTTTTGCATGAGATTATGCTATTCACAAAAAGGAGGGAGGAAAAGAGAAAAAATTATTGTTTGGACGAGGCTAGCTAAATCTTGATTGGGATACGAAGATTAAAGTGATAAATTATCACATGATTCCATATGGTTTCAAACAAATATTTTAATTAGCATAAGATGAAGAACAAAGAGTTTAATGGACCCATCAGATTTGCATAGCTCTCTCTCTAAATGGCAGATCTATCAAATAATCATGGAGGCGCCAATTAATTGGGTTTAGTTGTTTAATCTTTGATGGAATATCCATCAATATGGAATTTGACAATATTTTTATAATTCATATTTTTATTCATGGGTTTATAAACTATGAGTAATGAAAAGGCTTCAGACTTCGAGTTTTGAATTTTCTATCTATCATATCCTCTGCCCCCTTCCAGATTTTATAAAAGATGCCCTTTATAAACTTCAGCATTCATAAAAATTTGGGTAGGCATGGCGACACATACTCAACATGTACAATGAACAAAATGGAAACGTGTAGACTTGACAGGCTTCCTTTACTCTTTAACCCATAAAAAAGGAGTGAAAACAACCAATTTCTTATTCTTCCTTATCTTTGATGGAAGCTCAAAACTCTTCCTAGATTCATATCCTATTCTATCTTACCTGGTAGACCCTGAAAACCATTACGTCTCATATAGATAATAGTCCATCTTATTGGGCCTTCATAAATGCCAAAATTGATGCCTATCTCAAGCAACTAGCTTCATTAACCACCAGACACTGTCTAGGACCCCAGGCATCATGTGCTCTGTAGTCTGTACTGCTCACTAACACTCATTTCAATGCCATGAGGTCCATGACCCCAGGGCACTTGCAGCCTGCAGCTTCTGCCGGTAGAGTAAACACGGTATTTATTTGAATAGGAGAATGATCAAGACGTTTGGAATTGGCCCCCAAGCAATTGGAGACGCACTTTCAATTCCAACTATGATCGATTTTGTGACTGTCTCTCGACTTGTTCAGGATTTAAGTCAATGTTTGATATGTCAAGACAAATAAGCATGAGTAAGAACTATGGTAACAGATGTAACATATGACATTGCTGACAAATAATACTGCAAAAGCACAAAGTATTCCTTTCTCTTGAATTTTCATTGTATCTTTATTAACATTCTGCTGTTAAACTGCAGTCCCTCATTTTCTAGCAAGTGTTGGCTGAAGATGTAAACCTAATATTTTTTCGGAAATTTTTTTTTCCCTTAAATTCTTCAACATAGGTTAGTTTGTGATCAAGTTGTTAATGTTGCACTATAAAATGATTTACATTTGCACTTGTCGTGCTTAACGTTATCATGGTGCACATAAAAAGAGCCTTTTTTACCCCCAAAATCTCCAGATGATTAATGTCTTGTCTCCACTCTCCATAGCTAAATGCAACTCAAAAACAGCGCTGACCATGTCCAGTGCAACATGCCATCTTCACCACAAATTCTTGTCATAAAGTGATTCTGTTTCTTAAGTGTTATTTTCCCCACAAAGATCTTGGTTCTTTCGAAAATTAATTCTGTTTTTGTGTTATGAAAGTATCTACTGGTTGAGAAAGAAACAATCTAGAAATGCAATAAAAATCTTATGTTCATATTGAATTCTACACATACATTTACGATCTTCCTGTTGGTGTTGGCATTACTTCAGCTCTAAAATCAACTCTAGAAGGTGGCACTGGTGCAAATAGAACCTCTTTCACATTACTGAGTATTCCTTTGTCATATGGATTTTGAGAATCGACATAGCGTTGCCGGAAATTCTCATAAGCTGTCTGCATTATCCCAAAAAGAAGAAAAAAAAATTAAACTAAACTCATTCGAGCAAATGCTAGTTTTTGGACTATAAACTCCGACAGTGAGTAATACTTGAGGAGTTAAACTCTCCTTACTTCAGTAAAAATTAAAGTAAAATTAAAACGACCAAAGCAAATCAAAATATGTAAACTGAACCAACCTGATTTGTTGCAGTGAGATACATGTGATAAATAGCAAGACCACCCAGGAAACAAATGGCGGCAAAACTAAAGGTTATCACTGCTAGAGATTCAGGGCAGCCCTTCAGCATCCCAAATAGCCCGGTGCTGTTTTTCACTTTTCTCTGATGGATTCCCCAAATAGAGAAGGCAAATATGTAGATAAAGAAAACTAAGGTAGATATCACAAATGTCAAATAAAATCGATAATTTCGCTGCACAACCAAAATTGAAAATTGCTGTTAACATTAGATTCACTTCCTGTGTTTACTTGCCATACAGCATTTGATACGTAAATGTACCTGTGCAATACACTGACCGATCCATGGGCAGTGGTGATCGAATTTCTCAACACAATTGTCACAAACAGCGCAGTGGCAACTCCTGGGAGGCCTGAAAATTTTACAAATTCTACAGTATTTCAATCTCAGTTCTACCCCATTAACGGTTACTCTCTTGCTTCTGGCTCCATCACTGGTACCAACTTCTTCTATAGATGCTTGATCATTTCTGGGAATAATTCCTGGATCAGTTGCAGTAACCAAAATCAAGTTGACAAGAACCTACGTTTCAAACAGAAATAAGAAATATCTTCAGATTTATTTACTTAGCTTATCCTATAAGAAATTCATACTTTTGGTTGCAGTCAAATTAGAAATGATGTAGTTATCAGACAGAATAAACAAAGTAAGAAATAGTGACTAACAATTATTGTCAGAATTACAGAAATGGTTACAATGAGATATGAGTGACTTGGTAAATCATCTCCAGTATACATGGCAAATATCCAACTTGAAAGTGTTATTGATACTGTTGTCAAGAGTAATCCTTTGGGATCCGGGCCACAAATGAGTCTTCCATGGAAGAAAAATACCTGCATATGCACCAAAAAACTTCAATAAATTGCTCAAGTCATGTATAATTTACAGGAAACTATTGGATAATAATACTAGTAATGATTTAGTTACTACAGTAATTTGCTTGCAGTCACATTACATTATTCCCTGGCCAAACTTGGAAAGCTCTAATTCTTTCTGAATTTTCACCACGAACATACTGTAACCAAAGATCTTGAATGAACCTTTTAACCACAAAAACTTTTTGCCTAAATGAAACGAAAAAATTTCCAAATTGTCCAGCCATCTTATTGTAAATTCTAGATTTATTTTCCTTGTAATCTTTGGTTGAGGAATTAGAAACTTCTTGTTCTGGTGGATCGGAAAAAGCAATCTGTTTTAGTACTTCTTTACCCTTTTCACTTGTTTCCAATTGGGGATTGATGAAAGCCATTTTAATTTCTTTTTTCTCGGTGAAACTCTCTTCCTCTTTGTTTTGGTTCAACTTTCAAATACACATTGCATAACCACTTTTGAAAACTGAACAGCAGTTACTTCAGGGGGCAATAGGTTGGGCCGGATGCCCGGAACCGTTTTGAGACAATATTGGGGCCTATAAAGTAAAAATCGAATTTGGATCGGCCCAGCCCAAGCTGGTGTCCCATATAAGATCATCATTCCTCAAAACGCAACGCCGCAGCTAATTTCAGACACTTCCCTCTCCCCTAACGGTTGAACTGTGAGCTTCGAAGATCAAGTCAGCCAGAACAAAATAGAAGAAAACACAAAAAAACAAAGCAAGAGAAACATAATCGAATGGAACATAAAGACAGGATCAAAATCGCAGTCACTATTGCTTCTTTAGCGGTAATATCGATCTTCTTCACTGCGCAATACCGAAGACGTCGAAAGCTGAAATGCCCTTCGAGTTCGTGTTATTTACAAACCGGACCAAAGCCGCAACGCAATTTCAAGCGCGTTTTAGCTGATAACTCGTATTCTCCATTCAAACACGCTAAAAACGGTGCATTTTATTTATTAATTTACTAAAATGTTGTAGAATTATTCAACTTGTTTTTTTTTTTTTTCGTTTTACTTAAATCTTAGCGGTCTGTTTGGTTTCTGAGAAAATGTGAGAAAAGAGAAGAAATTAATAGAAAAGTGAAATTAGCGAACGTATGAATTCAAACTTCAGAGCCGTGCATTTTGTAAAACTTATCTTAGATAAAAACAGAGTTGAGGAAATGAAGAACTAAATTTAACTGAGTTCAACACTTTGTTGAAGACTAGGCTTTCAATTCTGAAATTGCTTTGTTTTGTTCTAGTTTCTTAGCAACCTAACAGAGGGAAACTGAAATAACCCTGGCAAATTTTATGGCAGAGAAATCTTCTGGCTCGCATCCTTATGAAGTGGAGATTACGGCTTTGTTCGAGAATCCACCACCTGAATTTAAGTTTGTTACAGATAATGTGAATTTGAAATTGAGTGAATCGTATGTTTGGGTGGAGTCTAAGTTGCAATTAGAGGAACTTGCTATTACATTGAGTAGAGAGACAGTTTTTGCTGTTGATACTGAACAACACAGCCTGCGTTCATTTCTCGGTTTTACAGCTCTAATACAGGTTCATAATTACATTTTTTCTTCTTTCTAATGCATTATGAGTCTGTGTCACGTTTCTTGGATTCATTGATTATTGCATTATGCATGTATTTCTATTATTTGTGAGCAGATTTCTACTGAGAAGGAAGACTATCTGATTGACACAATCACTTTACATGATGAAATGAGTATTCTTTGCCCAGTTTTTTCTGATCCTGGTATTTGCAAGGTAATGTAATGAATTCTGCGTGTTTTGTTGATATGAAATGCAGTTACTCTGCGAAGTTTTACGAAATTTCATTTTGCCAATTCCTCTTATTATGTTTAACAGGACATATATTCATCACTGTTATCTTTAATGTCACCAAGGGACTTCATTTGCCAACAAAAGCACAATAAGTGTTAAAGTGAATAATTTTAATGTCTTTTTTTTTTTTTTTTTTTTTTTTGGTTAAGTGAATAGTTTTAATGTCAATAGAATTATTTTATATTATATTCTTGATTGGTGAAGCAGCATGCAATTTAAGTGCGTTAATTTGATAATTTTTTTGTTTATGGTGTAGGTGTTCCACGGGGCTGATAACGATGTTCTATGGCTGCAAAGANTCATCACTGTTATCTTTAATGTCACCAAGGGACTTCATTTGCCAACAAAAGCACAATAAGTGTTAAAGTGAATAATTTTAATGTCTTTTTTTTTTTTTTTTTTTTGGTTAAGTGAATAGTTTTAATGTCAATAGAATTATTTTATATTATATTCTTGATTGGTGAAGCAGCATGCAATTTAAGTGCGTTAATTTGATAATTTTTTTGTTTATGGTGTAGGTGTTCCACGGGGCTGATAACGATGTTCTATGGCTTCAAAGAGATTTCCATCTTTATGTTGTTAATTTATTTGATACTGCAAAGGTAAGCTTTGGTTATAAAATATGTTGATCTTGTGGAAAATATTATCTGCTATGTACATTAGTTGTTTTGAGAGATGGCACCTCGATGAATTTGCTGAGAATGATTTTGATTGTAATTTGTGTTCTTCTGATATTTACTGTAGGCATGTGAGGTGTTGTCGAAACCACAGAAATCACTAGCATTCTTACTTGAAACATACTGTGGTGTGACCACAAACAAATTGTTACAGGTTTGGTGTTATGGACTTATTTCTGCTTGTGCAATTTTCTCCTTTTTTCTGGCCATCTTTGGGAACTTCTGTATGACAGGGTGTTTTGATGTTGTATTTATGAAGATAGTAATATGCATGTTGGCTTTAGTTTTGAGGAGATAATATTGCTTATAACACAGAAGATGATTATCTTCTTATTGCATTGTAGCGTGAAGATTGGAGACGGCGCCCTCTGCCGGCAGAAATGTTGCAATATGCTCGAACTGATGCACATTATTTGTTGTATATTGCAAAATGTTTAATTGATGAGCTCAACAAACAAGAAACTGGTATGTGTTCTAGTTTCCGCTTTTAGTTTATGCTATGCTAATCAGCTTATCTTTCATCTGGTATGTATTGCCGTGAAAATAAAAAGGAGCAATCCCTATACTTGGTTGGGAATTGTATAACAGTTATTAACATTCACAACCAGTCAACAACATTTATTTAATTTTTTTCTTTTGGAATTGAGAAGCGATTTCTCAAGAGGATTCATATCCTTTACAAAAAGTTTGTTAGAATATTATGGTTTTAAATATGGCTGTTTGCCATTCGAGAGGATCAGCTTGAGAAGAAAAGCTAGTTAAGCTCAAAACAGCACCTGTAAATTAATCTTGAACCTCTGCTTGGCAACAATTCTAAATTGATTATTCTGTAAAACTTGTATATTTCTTATAGCATCGAATGCTAAACATATTACTGTATCAGAAAATTCATCTCGCCCCAATGACAAATTCAATTTTGTTCTCGAGGCTAGTCGGCGTTCAAACATGGTTTGTTTGCAACTCTACACCAAAGAGTTTGAGTCTTATCCAGGAGAAGCAGCTGCATCATCAATACTTTTCCGACACTTGAATGGTCTAGGAGGTGTTTCTTCAATTTCTGGTGAAACCCAGGTGTGCTGCTTTCTACCTGATTTTTGCACTTGCATCCATAAAAAGGAACCCATATTTATTGTTTGTTTGTTTGTAAATTCAGTTTCAGGATCTTGTGAGACGATTGTGCGCTTGGAGAGATTTAATGGTAAGCAGCAAATTTTTGTTTTTTCTATCATATCAAGAATAGCTTCACAGATATATGAAGAACTTTCCATGGAACATTACTATAATATTTTTTTTTTTTTTTTTTTTTTTTAAATGAGAGACTGAAATATATTGATAAAGAAGGTGATAAAAGAAAAGTGAGTGGTACACCTTAACAAAAAGGTTTGTACAGCTTTAGCAAGGGATCGGAGAGCCAAAAGGCAACTTATAGGCGTGTACAAAACAAACAGTATACACAATCAGAAAAGACAGATAACCTTATTAATATAGCTCATAAAATTTCCATGTGGTCTGCAATTCCTTTCAGGCTCGTGTGCATGATGAGAGCTTGAGATTTGTATTATCCGAGCAGGCTATTGTTGCTCTTGCAGATAAAGTTCCAGCAACTGCAACAGACATATGCTTCACCATAGCTCAAGCTGATTTGGCTGTTGATTCTGTGAATTTTAATTCCTGTCTCCCATCTCCATCCCCTGTTGTTTGCAGTCATTTGGGTGACTTCCATAATCTAATCCAGGATAACAAAGGAAGTCTTGACGGTATTTTTCAAGCAATTCTTCATAAGTGTCTGGGTCCAAATGGAAGTTGCCCATTGTCTGTTTTTAATTATACTTTACTGGCAAAATGTAATCTAAAACTAAAATGTCAGAGCGATAGATTAGTCTACAAACAAAATGGTTGGGTTAGAAATTCAAAGCAATTTGCTCGGAAGGCTTCAAGAGAGCTGTTTGTCCAAAAATTTTCCTGTAAAGCTCCAGTTTATCATAACTGTAGGATCTATGCAAATGATGGACGGTTGCTCTGTTACTGCGACCGCAGAAAACTTGAATGGTTGGTAAAAATCTTATATTTTATCTTAATTTCAACTTTAAATATAGCGCAGTTTACAAATTTATGACATCTTATAGGTATATTCATCGAGATCTTGCAAAACTTGTTGATGACAACCCACCTGCTATAATGCTTCTTTTTGAACCCAAAGGCCGTCCAGAAGATGAAGGCAATGCCTTTTATATTCAAAGTAAGAAAAATATATGTGTTGGCTGTGGTGAAGGAAATCACTACTTACGCTACAGAATTATTCCCTCATGCTACAGAATGCACTTCCCTGAGCATTTAAAAAGCCATCGTTCCCATGATATTGTCCTACTCTGTGTGGACTGCCATGAGGTAGCTCACGCCGCTGCTGAGAAGTATAAGAAACAAATTGCCGCAGAATTTGGAATACCACTTTTCATTCATAAAGTAGTTGATTCAAAACAAGCACAAGATAGACCGGGGTCGTCAACGATGGACACTGAGGAGACAGGTGTATCTCCTTTACAGTTGCGCACAGCTGCCATGGCTCTTTTGCGCCACGGTCCAAGAATGCCTTCAGACCGTAGGGAAGAACTGAGACAGGTATGACAGCCTATTTTTAGCACTTGATTCTGCTCGGCTTGGAAAAAGCTTTATGTGCATTTTTCTTTTTCTGTAATGTGGTACTGACTGTTGCATCAGTAATGAGCACCACTAATAGCCGATATTAGATCTTCCATTCTATAGCAGTATAATCTTATATTAAAATATCATGATTTTAAGAAGATGCAGCTAATTTTATTCAATACAGAAAAGCACCCAGGTACAAAGTCACTTGTTAAAGATAAATTTGAAGATGCTTTCTGTATGTTATTGCAATTACAATGTGGACTCCTCTCTTCAATTATTGGCATAAATTGCTTTTATGTTTGAGTTTTAGTTTCTTATAAATAATAAAAATAACATTTTTGTTTTCTGATCAAAAGGTGAGTCGTTTTAGAAGAGCATAATATTTATTACTAACCAAAGCTGTCTCTTGTGCATTGCTATTCTGCTACTGATTGCTCATCAGTGTTTTAGAGAATTGTATTATGTTCTTTAAAAGCTCTTTCATTGAGGGAGTTCATTTTTTATTTTTGAAGATTGTCATGAGATATTATGGAGGAAGGGAAATATCTGAAGAAGACTTGGAAAGAGCTCTGCTAGTTGGAATGAGTCCTCGTGAGAGAAGACGACTTGGGAAGAAAAGAGGGGTGTATTTGAAACATTCTAACTGTGTTGATGTTCCTGATGAGGAGCACAAGAATTTCAGTGGTGGCACTGAAAAATCTGCCACTATGGGTGCCACAGAAGCTAATAATCTAGATGGGTTGCTTGCTACTGAAACAGAACTGTTTGGTGAAAAAGAAAACCATAATTTTGCAACTGTAACGGATGACGACATAAGCAATGCAGGGGTTGATCAAGTAACCTCATCTACCAATAACAAGAATATGAATTCCATTAGAGGTGAAGTTTCTGATACAAAAGATAATTATGATGGCAAAGATGATGATGACTCTGAGAATAGAAGTGTAAATGGAGCAGTCGACTTACTTTATCCAAGCTATGATGGAAGCAGTTCACCAAAGCATAATTCTAAGTTATCGCTATTAGGACATGGACCTCATGGAAAACAAGTAGTTGATTATCTACTGCAGGAATATGGGGAGGATGGCATTCGTCAGTTTTGCCAAAGGTGGAGACAAGTTTTTGTTGAAGCTATTCAACCTCGTTTCTTGCCTGCTGGCTGGGATGTACAGCACAGGTAATACTCCCATCTTTTATTGAGCAATATTTTTGTGGAAGCACATTACCATATTCTAAGGAAGATCTTTCTGCTTAGTTAATCTTTTCTGAATATTATTTAAAAACAACTTCTACTGGCAACTTGATTTTTGATGGAAGTTTGTGATTTAACAAATCACACACATGAGAACATAGAAGATACTTTACTGTTGCTTTATCAACTTTACCAAGTACTGCCCTTTAGCCACTGAACAATGTTTTTCCAGTGGCAGAAGAGAATTCGGCGAATTCAGCGTATACAATCCTGATAAGAAATCTGATGAAGCTGCTTCTACAAGTTAATTTATAGGTGAAATTTCAGAGTAAAGACCATGCGAAGATCATCAATCAACCAGCAGCAATATGCTATTCATCCTAAATTACTATATCACCTTCTTGTTATATTGTAGCATTCAAAACTCTTTTGGTTCTCTTGTTCGTTCTCGAATCTAATGTAATGTCAGAATTCCTACTAGACTGTAGGTTGATCAGAGACCTGTACTAGATTCCTGGCTATTCCGGTTTCTGTTTTGGCCTTTGGGAGTAGAAAGGAGGAACATTAGCCCCATGGGTGTCTGCAGTTTGGCTAATTATGTGATCAGTTTCTGGTTGGCACCAAAAGTGAGTTGGAGATGGCGTGACTTAATTGTTCAGAACTTTAGTTTCTGTTTATCCTGGCTGGCTAGAGATCTGTATTGCTGAAACAATTTTGAAATGCTCAGATATCTCGTTATAATTCCCACTACAAAAAGATCCGGTTCATTTTGCATTAAATGTGGTTGTAAATTTTGCGGCAATTTTTTTCTGTCTTCACATTGCAACGAAATTACGACTATACTTATCTCAAAAACACCATATCAAACTCCCCGCGACCCCAAACTACAAAGCAAAGAATGCCTCAATCTGTAAAATGTCATAAATGACCTAAAAAGCTGTAAAATTGCAGAAGATGGACCACTCCATCTCATCTCGTCAAAAGGGAATCTGCCAATAAAAACAAGACCAACTTAAGAAGCTTCAAGAAAGAGTACGTTTCCAGGGTACTTAAAATCAATGAAGAGATGAAAACATACCCGTCAATGCGGCAATTCCAGATTCAAAATGTATTACAGAATCAACAATTGTGACTTGTGATCAATACCATTGAAGATGAAAGTTCCAGACATGGGAACAAACTGTTTTGTTATGAGCTGTGGTAAATAGGATCAATGATGAATCAGGGCAAGGAAAATAACTTAATAGCCAAAAAAATATATCATAGGAAAATAAAAATAGATGACTAAACATAATGCAAAGGTAGTAATTAGATCCGGTCCAAACAATTTCTCACAGAGAACCATGTGATCATTGGTAACGTAAAGCAAATAAGCCTAGTTAAGATAGAGACAGAACCTTAATAACTTCTTGTGATGCAATTCCTCCAATTAAGGCAGCAACAGCATGGAGCTCTGCAGCGCCAAATCGACACATCTCATTAATAAGATCCTCTGTCAATGTTGAACCATTGCAACCCAAATCACTCAGTACACTAACAGCTGTAGTTTTTAATCTAGATATATCTTCATCCATTGCACTGTCGACATTGACCATGGAGTTAATACCCAAAAATCAGATTACAAGAAACATAAAAATAGCTTTCTTGAGGAATAGGTTATAGGTAGTGGTAATGTCTTACCCATCGAATTCCCCTGGAAAGCTATTGTAATTGGCAGCAAACCGGTCTACAGCTCTTAGGAGAATATAGAACCCCACAGCAACACTACAGGCACAAGTAGCTTTTGTATGAGCAATTTTTGTTACACCTTTTTTAGTAGAAATGTTAGCAGACTTTAAGAATACATTAACTCTCAACTTAAAGTGGTTGCTCTGTACAACATTTCAAGCGAAGCTACGAACAGAAACAAAGTTTAGATTCACCAATATCTATAAACATAATAATAAAGTTACGTTACCTATAATCCTCATCAGTTAAATACTTCTGCAACTCTGATATGGAAGGACTATTAAACTCATCCTCAATAAGACGATACCTGCAGACCTGCAAAGATTAAATGTCCTATTAGAAGGCAGCTAATCAAAGTAAAAAGATTATATATGTCTGCCCACTCTATACAACATTCTACAATATCTACCAAACCTCCATGTATTGACAAAATGACCTTTACAAGACCTGATTTTTGCACTTGCATCCATAAAAAGGAACCCATATTTATTGTTTGTTTGTTTGTAAATTCAGTTTCAGGATCTTGTGAGACGATTGTGCGCTTGGAGAGATTTAATGGTAAGCAGCAAATTTTTGTTTTTTCTATCATATCAAGAATAGCTTCACAGATATATGAAGAACTTTCCATGGAACATTACTATAATATTTTTTTTTTTTTTTTTTTTTTTTAAATGAGGGACTGAAATATATTGATAAAGAAGGTGATAAAAGAAAAGTGAGTGGTACACCTTAACAAAAAGGTTTGTACAGCTTTAGCAAGGGATCGGAGAGCCAAAAGGCAACTTATAGGCGTGTACAAAACAAACAGTATACACAATCAGAAAAGACAGATAACCTTATTAATATAGCTCATAAAATTTCCATGTGGTCTGCAATTCCTTTCAGGCTCGTGTGCATGATGAGAGCTTGAGATTTGTATTATCCGAGCAGGCTATTGTTGCTCTTGCAGATAAAGTTCCAGCAACTGCAACAGACATATGCTTCACCATAGCTCAAGCTGATTTGGCTGTTGATTCTGTGAATTTTAATTCCTGTCTCCCATCTCCATCCCCTGTTGTTTGCAGTCATTTGGGTGACTTCCATAATCTAATCCAGGATAACAAAGGAAGTCTTGACGGTATTTTTCAAGCAATTCTTCATAAGTGTCTGGGTCCAAATGGAAGTTGCCCATTGTCTGTTTTTAATTATACTTTACTGGCAAAATGTAATCTAAAACTAAAATGTCAGAGCGATAGATTAGTCTACAAACAAAATGGTTGGGTTAGAAATTCAAAGCAATTTGCTCGGAAGGCTTCAAGAGAGCTGTTTGTCCAAAAATTTTCCTGTAAAGCTCCAGTTTATCATAACTGTAGGATCTATGCAAATGATGGACGGTTGCTCTGTTACTGCGACCGCAGAAAACTTGAATGGTTGGTAAAAATCTTATATTTTATCTTAATTTCAACTTTAAATATAGCGCAGTTTACAAATTTATGACATCTTATAGGTATATTCATCGAGATCTTGCAAAACTTGTTGATGACAACCCACCTGCTATAATGCTTCTTTTTGAACCCAAAGGCCGTCCAGAAGATGAAGGCAATGCCTTTTATATTCAAAGTAAGAAAAATATATGTGTTGGCTGTGGTGAAGGAAATCACTACTTACGCTACAGAATTATTCCCTCATGCTACAGAATGCACTTCCCTGAGCATTTAAAAAGCCATCGTTCCCATGATATTGTCCTACTCTGTGTGGACTGCCATGAGGTAGCTCACGCCGCTGCTGAGAAGTATAAGAAACAAATTGCCGCAGAATTTGGAATACCACTTTTCATTCATAAAGTAGTTGATTCAAAACAAGCACAAGATAGACCGGGGTCGTCAACGATGGACACTGAGGAGACAGGTGTATCTCCTTTACAGTTGCGCACAGCTGCCATGGCTCTTTTGCGCCACGGTCCAAGAATGCCTTCAGACCGTAGGGAAGAACTGAGACAGGTATGACAGCCTATTTTTAGCACTTGATTCTGCTCGGCTTGGAAAAAGCTTTATGTGCATTTTTCTTTTTCTGTAATGTGGTACTGACTGTTGCATCAGTAATGAGCACCACTAATAGCCGATATTAGATCTTCCATTCTATAGCAGTATAATCTTATATTAAAATATCATGATTTTAAGAAGATGCAGCTAATTTTATTCAATACAGAAAAGCACCCAGGTACAAAGTCACTTGTTAAAGATAAATTTGAAGATGCTTTCTGTATGTTATTGCAATTACAATGTGGACTCCTCTCTTCAATTATTGGCATAAATTGCTTTTATGTTTGAGTTTTAGTTTCTTATAAATAATAAAAATAACATTTTTGTTTTCTGATCAAAAGGTGAGTCGTTTTAGAAGAGCATAATATTTATTACTAACCAAAGCTGTCTCTTGTGCATTGCTATTCTGCTACTGATTGCTCATCAGTGTTTTAGAGAATTGTATTATGTTCTTTAAAAGCTCTTTCATTGAGGGAGTTCATTTTTTATTTTTGAAGATTGTCATGAGATATTATGGAGGAAGGGAAATATCTGAAGAAGACTTGGAAAGAGCTCTGCTAGTTGGAATGAGTCCTCGTGAGAGAAGACGACTTGGGAAGAAAAGAGGGGTGTATTTGAAACATTCTAACTGTGTTGATGTTCCTGATGAGGAGCACAAGAATTTCAGTGGTGGCACTGAAAAATCTGCCACTATGGGTGCCACAGAAGCTAATAATCTAGATGGGTTGCTTGCTACTGAAACAGAACTGTTTGGTGAAAAAGAAAACCATAATTTTGCAACTGTAACGGATGACGACATAAGCAATGCAGGGGTTGATCAAGTAACCTCATCTACCAATAACAAGAATATGAATTCCATTAGAGGTGAAGTTTCTGATACAAAAGATAATTATGATGGCAAAGATGATGATGACTCTGAGAATAGAAGTGTAAATGGAGCAGTCGACTTACTTTATCCAAGCTATGATGGAAGCAGTTCACCAAAGCATAATTCTAAGTTATCGCTATTAGGACATGGACCTCATGGAAAACAAGTAGTTGATTATCTACTGCAGGAATATGGGGAGGATGGCATTCGTCAGTTTTGCCAAAGGTGGAGACAAGTTTTTGTTGAAGCTATTCAACCTCGTTTCTTGCCTGCTGGCTGGGATGTACAGCACAGGTAATACTCCCATCTTTTATTGAGCAATATTTTTGTGGAAGCACATTACCATATTCTAAGGAAGATCTTTCTGCTTAGTTAATCTTTTCTGAATATTATTTAAAAACAACTTCTACTGGCAACTTGATTTTTGATGGAAGTTTGTGATTTAACAAATCACACACATGAGAACATAGAAGATACTTTACTGTTGCTTTATCAACTTTACCAAGTACTGCCCTTTAGCCACTGAACAATGTTTTTCCAGTGGCAGAAGAGAATTCGGCGAATTCAGCGTATACAATCCTGATAAGAAATCTGATGAAGCTGCTTCTACAAGTTAATTTATAGGTGAAATTTCAGAGTAAAGACCATGCGAAGATCATCAATCAACCAGCAGCAATATGCTATTCATCCTAAATTACTATATCACCTTCTTGTTATATTGTAGCATTCAAAACTCTTTTGGTTCTCTTGTTCGTTCTCGAATCTAATGTAATGTCAGAATTCCTACTAGACTGTAGGTTGATCAGAGACCTGTACTAGATTCCTGGCTATTCCGGTTTCTGTTTTGGCCTTTGGGAGTAGAAAGGAGGAACATTAGCCCCATGGGTGTCTGCAGTTTGGCTAATTATGTGATCAGTTTCTGGTTGGCACCAAAAGTGAGTTGGAGATGGCGTGACTTAATTGTTCAGAACTTTAGTTTCTGTTTATCCTGGCTGGCTAGAGATCTGTATTGCTGAAACAATTTTGAAATGCTCAGATATCTCGTTATAATTCCCACTACAAAAAGATCCGGTTCATTTTGCATTAAATGTGGTTGTAAATTTTGCGGCAATTTTTTTCTGTCTTCACATTGCAACGAAATTACGACTATACTTATCTCAAAAACACCATATCAAACTCCCCGCGACCCCAAACTACAAAGCAAAGAATGCCTCAATCTGTAAAATGTCATAAATGACCTAAAAAGCTGTAAAATTGCAGAAGATGGACCACTCCATCTCATCTCGTCAAAAGGGAATCTGCCAATAAAAACAAGACCAACTTAAGAAGCTTCAAGAAAGAGTACGTTTCCAGGGTACTTAAAATCAATGAAGAGATGAAAACATACCCGTCAATGCGGCAATTCCAGATTCAAAATGTATTACAGAATCAACAATTGTGACTTGTGATCAATACCATTGAAGATGAAAGTTCCAGACATGGGAACAAACTGTTTTGTTATGAGCTGTGGTAAATAGGATCAATGATGAATCAGGGCAAGGAAAATAACTTAATAGCCAAAAAAATATATCATAGGAAAATAAAAATAGATGACTAAACATAATGCAAAGGTAGTAATTAGATCCGGTCCAAACAATTTCTCACAGAGAACCATGTGATCATTGGTAACGTAAAGCAAATAAGCCTAGTTAAGATAGAGACAGAACCTTAATAACTTCTTGTGATGCAATTCCTCCAATTAAGGCAGCAACAGCATGGAGCTCTGCAGCGCCAAATCGACACATCTCATTAATAAGATCCTCTGTCAATGTTGAACCATTGCAACCCAAATCACTCAGTACACTAACAGCTGTAGTTTTTAATCTAGATATATCTTCATCCATTGCACTGTCGACATTGACCATGGAGTTAATACCCAAAAATCAGATTACAAGAAACATAAAAATAGCTTTCTTGAGGAATAGGTTATAGGTAGTGGTAATGTCTTACCCATCGAATTCCCCTGGAAAGCTATTGTAATTGGCAGCAAACCGGTCTACAGCTCTTAGGAGAATATAGAACCCCACAGCAACACTACAGGCACAAGTAGCTTTTGTATGAGCAATTTTTGTTACACCTTTTTTAGTAGAAATGTTAGCAGACTTTAAGAATACATTAACTCTCAACTTAAAGTGGTTGCTCTGTACAACATTTCAAGCTAAGCTACGAACAGAAACAAAGTTTAGATTCACCAATATCTATAAACATAATAATAAAGTTACGTTACCTATAATCCTCATCAGTTAAATACTTCTGCAACTCTGATATGGAAGGACTATTAAACTCATCCTCAATAAGACGATACCTGCAGACCTGCAAAGATTAAATGTCCTATTAGAAGGCAGCTAATCAAAGTAAAAAGATTATATATGTCTGCCCACTCTATATAACATTCTACAATATCTACCAAACCTCCATGTATTGACAAAATGACCTTTACAAGCTTAACCTTTGGTGGAGAGACATGCTTCTTAATTCAAATCAACATCGACATATATATTGTTGATTAAGTAAAATTCTAGCAATTATACAGTATATAGATATTTTATATATGAAGTAACCCTATCAAAGACCCAACCTCCATGTATTGACAAAATGACCTTTACAAGGTTAACCTTTGGTGGAGAGACACTCTTCTTAATTCAAATCAACATCAACATATATATTGTCGATTAAGTAAAATTCTAGCAATTATACGGTATATAGATATTTTATATACAAAGTAACCATATCAAAGACCCAACATGCTACCACTTCAAAACGTCCCAAACAAGAATTGCAGTTAAATAGATACTGAAGAGCTAACAAAGAGAATGCTGGTAGTAGAAATAAAAAGTCAATAAGGAGACATAATAATCCATGTCTAGCTTGCACAAGCATGTTGCATATGATACACTAGGATAAGGTGAAAGACACTCTGGTCAAATATGTCCAACAAAACATGCTTGAAAATCATGAAACAATGCTCAGAGTTGTTAAGACATTACAATTACAACAAGTATTTTGTAAAGTCAATCAGGAGATACAAGTAGTTGATAACATATTTAGAATACTACATAAAAGTGTATTTTACCAAACTTACTTTCAGTTTTCTCGCATTTTTACAGAAACTTTTTATCATTGCCTTGGGGATGCTCCCTGGCTCTCTACCTAACTTCTTTTGAATATTCCTCACTCGTAGCTCAATGGCAATGAAATCAGCCTCAGCCTTGGCTTGGTAGATTTTCTGCAAGTTTACATAATGCCTGCAGAAAATTTCATACAGCTATTGTCATCAATCCTTTTCAATCTTAAGGAACGAAATTGAAAAAACATATCCAAAGTTAAAAGTCACTCACTCAGTTGAAGATGTCATATCAGGTATCGACCCCTCAAGAGGTGCTTCCCCATCACCTTCATTTGCAATGAACTCCTGCACACAGCTCAAAATTTTAAGGAAATTGATGCAGGTCACAGGAGGTCAAAAAAGACTGATAGAAGCATGGATCTAAATCTTCTCCAAAGGAAGTATTCAATATTAGTTTCAAAACCATGTTATTGGCCAATTCAGATGTTCTAGTAGCTTCTGTATGTTATCATTTAAGGGTGTATGATAACATTTCCCAGTGGCTTTCTAAAAACACAAAACTGTAGTTCAAGAGCTTATCTAGCTTTCTGATTAAGCAAAGAATCTTGAAACAAAAACAAATTCTTGAACATGTACCAGCATTTCATGTGTATAGAACCTATTATATTGTTTATCTAAATTCATTAACAATTGATTACACATAAAAACATCATAAAGAGGGAAAATAAAAAAACAGAACCAAAGCTACACATTATCCATAAGTACCACATTTAATGAAGCAAACTACGTGAAGAAACAACTAAATTTTAAAATTTTTAGAGACATGATGATGATGACCAGCATAGAAGAGAGAAGATCACAGCAAAGAACATGATATGATGACTCAGTATGATGTTCTCTCATAAAAATCACCAACCTTTAAAGCTGCCACCATCACCCAAAAATCTGATGAATTAGAATTAACTTCAGCATGGCTATCATTAATTATTTGCTGCAAGTCGGAACCTGACATGCCAGGCAGAGAGAGAGGTTAACCCTCTATTTACATGCAACCCAATAAAAGGGTGATTTTCAAAATTAATTTTGCAGTAAAGAAGATGACGACAAAAACCATAGGTTTTCTGACTGCATATAAAATTCCATTACAAAGTAAGGAGTCAACCTTTTTAAGGAAAGATAAACTCACCATTGAACTTGTTTCACAGTTGGAACATTTTGAGTTAATTATAAATATCTACAAATCATTCCATCTCAGAATCTAGGGTATTATTTAAGGCTCAAATTCTCCAGTTCAAACTACTTTGATTACATAAATACAGGGCAAGATGTCTCAAATGTTTCCATGTCAACAAACCCAATATAGGAAAATAAGACCAAACCCATCCCATAAACAGTGGCAGGGAAACAGTGAGTTATCTGAACTACATGGCCCATTGCCAGTCTCGCACACTGAACAAATCACCTTGCATTCTCTCATTTAGAAACTATATTTCCTTCTGATACATACCCAATGAAAACAAATGTTCAGGCATAACATAGAAGATGAAAATTAGATCCCTCTTATTTAATTTCCAGATTCAATAACTTCCTATAAAATAATTATCTACCAAAAACTTCAACCAAATGCTTCTAAATCAAAAACTCACTTATTCCTCGAGGAGCAAAGACTTTGAAGGAGGCCTCAATAGCTTCTTTATAGTTGTCTTCATCCATAGCAATCATCTTAGATTTAAGAAGTTCCTAAAATGTCCAAGGCCAGAACTAAATCACATTAATAGACAGCCATAAAAACCAAACAGATAAGATAGTAACCAAATATACCTTAAACTCTTTTTTCTCTTCCCTGGTTGATGGAAGGCTACCCCCATGAGCTTTGGTCCACTCTTCGGCCATCTTAATGAGAATCACAACATACGGTGTGTGTTTGTGGGCAACAGGATCTGGCACATTTAAATCAAATGTTTCTGCAAACCTATTAGGTAAAACACCAGTCAAAACATAAGAAAGGAGCAGAATTCCTATATTTTCATTTAAATATGTATGTATGCTATAGAAGACACAGCACAAAGTAAGATTAACTATCAACTTAAAAAAGACTATTACAGAAACATTCAAATAAAACTCCATACTTCCTGAGCTCAGGCCATGGGTTATTTAATCGAAGATCATCCAGAAAATGGTCAGGCTTTGACTCAATCACTGTATGTTCCTGCCTCAGAAAAAGAAAGAAAAAATTAGCAATTCTCAGCTATGCATCAAAGTTTCCAAAACCTGTCAATTATTATGATTTTTCCTTTTATACTGAAACCAATTTTAATTTTGAAAAACTAAAATCTTTACTGCACATTCATATTCACATTTCCTACAGGAATGCCAAGCATAACTTTTATAGTTTGTTGTTTTTGATCTCAAATTAACAAGATGTCTACGATCATCCAATCTAAGAGAAACTGGTCTATTTTAGAACCAAAAGGAACATAAACTGTTTTCCAGAAAGGTAAAGTAAAAAACTTGTTATCAAATGAAAACTTTTCCATGGTAGTGAGGAAGTATTTTAAACAAAAATTTACCTTCAAACTGATTCGAACCAGTCCTGTGAGACCATAGGAGCGAGCAAAAATCAACATCACATTAGCTTCCCGACATATTCGGTCAAGCTTTACCATTGAATCCTCCACCAGCTGAAAATTGAATCAGAAAAAGAAACTAAATAAAAAAATTAAAAAAGCTTTAAAGAGAATAAAGATGGTAATCAAATGGCCAATGAATGTTGTGGATAATAGCCACCAAGGAAAGAACCATGTGAGTATTAAAGAAACGAAGGATATAATGATTCATTACCCAAATGCCACTTCAATTTCCTAAATAACTTTGACAAGAACAATATCAAACATTCCTAAAAACGGTAGGAATATATACAAATGATTATCTCATAATCATTGTAAATAACCATACTTAGAGATGCCAAAAGGGCTGAAAGATAAAATTCCATTAGTGATGCAGAAGCTAAATTTACAATGAGTGCTAAACAACTGTGTACCAGCAAATGCTCTAAACACAGAAGAACCATTATTTAATACCTGAGTGGCCACTACTAGAGTAAACTGAGAAAAGAATGATGGATTTGTTTCAATTAGTTTTTCTGGATACTCTTCAATAAACTTGGCTTTAACAGCATCATTGAGTTCTTGCAGAAATGCACACACAGATTTGGCCTTTGATTGCCCAACGCATGACTCATCCACTAGCACCAATACCAAAAGCGAGATAAGAATGATGAGGAGAAAAAAAAAAAAAAAAACTATTGAAAGATACAAAAAAAGAGTCAAATGCTTACACATAAAATTGTTTCCAAGGTCACCCAGTTCAACTTTGGAACCATCAATCACTGTAATGCTTCCAATCCCACCAAGAACCAAATTTTTCAATGTCTCAGAACCAGTAGGACCACAGTTGAGCAAGCATACACTGGCTTTTTCAAGGGCTGCCTGCCCTTGCTCACCCCAGATCCTGCGTTTCCAATATAACAATGAATTCCAAAAAAAAAAAAACACTCAAAAACCTTATTAAAATTTAAGTTACTTAAGGTGCCAGTGGATCAGCTTTCCAATTTTTGCTTTTTGAGATCGCCAAAACAGACTTATTACAGTCTTTCCTTCTGCTAAACAGAGTATTTATACTTTTAGATACCATATTGATACCAAATAGCACAGTGTTACAACCTTAATGTTTAATATTGCAAGTAATGCAGGTCTTTATGGAATTAAAGTTCCTCTTGGTGCCAATTGGTATTGCATTAAAGCCCTTAATATATTTTCATTGCAGGAAATCAAACAATCAAACTCTACAATTAAAACACGAAGCATACTAGACAAGTTATAACCAAAATAATAATAATAATAATAATAATAATAATTATTATTATTATTAAAAGAAAACCTACAATAATACAAGCACGTCTAACTTAAGGCTAAGGATTCCAAATATAGCATTGGAAAAAAAAAGAAAAGAAAAGAAATATCCTTCCGTGCCGTTTTAACAGTCGAAACATGGACAACAATTAATCAAAAAAACAATTACCGCGGAAAAAAATCGCAAGATTTATGATTTGGATGTCTATATACAACATGTCACCTCCAACTAAACATTACTAGCAATGTAAATTCTCAAGAAAAAAATTTCGAAAAAATATTTTATGTTCATACAAACAGAGGTCAACCAAAACCTAGTGCAAATGGAAGTTTATCCAACTAAAGAGAAAGTGGAATGAGAATAATCAAAATTGAGGGCAAAACGGTCATTAGGAGTACGACAGAGACGGAGAGGAGTCAGTACCTGAGCTGGCGATCGTATTTGGTTTTCGGTTCCGCCATTATGTGTTCCGGCGTGCGGTTCTTTTTTCTTTTCTTTTTTACTTTTTTTTTTCTGTTAAATGAAAGTACTTTTTTTTTTTTTCTGTTCGCTTAGGAGTTACGCAGAGTGTGTTGGGACTTGGGAGACGAGTGTTGATGGAGAAGAAACGAAGAGCTCATTTTACCAAGACAATTATTGATACGGACAAGGGAAGTTGAACGACGTCGTATCGAAGCTTTTATTGCCCCAAATACAATTGTTAAACAAGTACTAGAAAAAAAATAATACTTTTCTATTAACACCTGAAGCAAACTTCTGGCTACTAAAAAAGCACCTTTTATTATGTAGGTTTATCCTATTTGATTATGTAATTCCAATTGAATACAAAAAATAGAAAATAAAAAAATGTTTGTAAAAGTGCTTCTTAATCACCATAATCATTACTACTTTCTAAATTTTGGTCCAAACAATATATTTCTAAAAATATTGAAAATGTTGCGACTGTTGTATGAAATGAAGGAAAATCTAGTTATTCTAGTGTCTAATTGTTACTATGGTTCAAATAGCTGATATCATTGTTTTATAGAAGCTTAAATGCCGGACAGTGATTTTTAGAATGAAAATTAGAAAGTTGATAGAAACTATGTTTGTAAGCTGAACTTCACTTTCTCTGAACATTTGTAGTTCTAGCATTGGAATCAAATATTTTGGCATAAGAAATGAGACATTGCACTCTAGAAGCTTAAATGCAACTGGATCATCATAAGATTTTTTTGTTACAACATTTTTAGTTTCTTACATCCCAAATTTGCACAAATCCATCAAAGGCTAGGCCATGGTTGCTTAAATGCAGACTATGAGCTTGCATCTTCAGAAACAAAATAATGCAACTATTTGTTTCTTAAACAATGCAAATAAGTTAACTTTTTGCATGAGCTCATATCCAGTTTGTCAATGAACAGCATGCTCAGTAAATAAGCCGTAAATTTGAAGCTCATTTCTTCAGTTTAATTCCAAGAACCATCTTTAGCTGGTACAAATCTTTTTAGGATTAATAATGTGAGAGGAGGTGTCGACAGTCCACCCAGAGAAAATGAATGTTACAAGAATATAATCCATCCTAGACTGAAATGCAGCTCCTATCAAGCATGCATTATCTTGCATTTGCAGAGTACAGGGAACACGGCTGCATTGAGAAGATCTGGAGCACAATTTATGGGTGTCTATGACATGATATAGTAGCATTACTACTACAAGTTAACAAAAGAACCTCAACTTCCACATAGGATATCGATATCAACAGAGAAGGTTATGAATATCATATGGTTTTAACCACTTCAGAGCTGACATTCCTTTAAACAGGAAGATGGTAAAGACTGGCAGGCAATGACAATTCTACTTTTGAATTTTGAAAACTTTACTCCCAGAAATGAAAGAATTGATTAAAGAATTCTTTTTTCATTCTCGGTCTACAATGCCAAGGCAATAATAATATATGTAGAACTAATGTACAGAGAAAAAGAACAAAACCATCAGGTGTATGCATCTAACTAAAATGAGAAAGAAGCTGCGAATGCAAGCACAGGTGAAGAACAGAACATACACTGGAGTTCCACAAGCAGGCAGAAACTTCAAGGAAGAACTGTTTCAACAGTTCCCTAAAATTAGTTCATAGTTCATCAGGGGCACTCTACACCAAATGAAATCCCATATCATTAAGCTCCCAACTAGGACAAGATAAGGGAAAACAATGCATACAATAACAAAAAGCATTTACTTAACAAACTTAGTCAGATTACAAAGAGTGAAAATTACCAATCTCCTCAGTATATCTATCAGTAATCAAGTAATTCAATAATCTGAAATTCATTAAAAAAAAAAAAAAAAGGACCTAATCTACCTTAATTTCATCAAACCATAAAGAAGTTAATGATGTTAATCCATCTGAAAATGAATATCACTGGTAAGTAGGTTTTCACAATAAAACCCCATTGACTTGATGCATATATATTTAATACGGGGCTCTATATCAATTAATTAAGCAATATAAAGCGATTCAATACACAATCAATTAAAATTATTGATGATTTAGAGCTCTCCTAACTTAACTTCAATAAATCAAACAGTTACCAAACAGTTATAGCTAGCACACTCAAGCCCACCAATTAATGGCAAAAATTGAATACAATGTGAGCTAAAATCATAAATTAATCTACAAAAATAAGAACTAAATCCGAAAGTTGATAATTTCTTTATTAATTCAAGTTCCAATATATTTTTTACGCAATCCATGACGGGACCACCTTTTACATTTTCTGAACTAGCTTCTACTAAAACTAAAATCTACAAAAATTGAACAACACAGGTAAATTCACAGATTAATTGAAGTATCTCACTCCTTCAATGAGCCGCAACAATGTTACTATCACTACTAAACACATCGATGACCGGATCGGGAAGATCAGACCCCGGACCTGACTGATTCGAGGTCAAAAACAGCACCGCTTTAGCCGCCACGAGTTTCTTCCTTTGAGGACATCGTGGACCATACATCCTCCCGGAGAAGCAAGGGAAGGCATCGGTCACGCTGACCTGAGGTTGATCGTCGTTTGAAGACGGTGGAGGTGACATAGGCGACATGCGGTGAGGGGAGATCTGAGGGATTGAAATGACTCTATGCGATCTAGCGCTGATTTTCGAGTCTCGCAGGCGGGCAAGGGCGCCAGGTTTGAGGTACTTTAGAAATGGCTCGGGTCGGGTCAAGTGTTGTCTTGGTAAAGATCGAATTCTTCGCTCCATTGTAGAGAGAGAGTGAGAGATCCAGAGAGGGAGTGTGTGTGTGGGTTAGGGTTAGATAAAGAGAGATAGCAGGTGGGTTTTTAAGGAGAGAGAGTGAGGCGGGAAATGAGAGGAGGGTTTTGAAAGAGAGAGGAGGGCGCGGGATTTGTTATTTGTTAAGGGTTTTATTGGGTGACTTTGGTTTATTATTTTGGATAGGATTTTAGGAATAATATTGGATAATTAGATAAGGGAGTATTACGAGGTAAAATTTAAAAATTTATAAAAAAACCCTTAGGTTTGCTAATTTAATTAAATACCCTAATATATAAAATGACAAAAACACTCCCACCACCTGCAGTGCCAGATTCTGGCCACCATCGTCGAAATCTGGCCGGAAAGTCGCGTTACGACACAGACCGATTGGATCTGTGTCGTAAAGCGTTGTTATGACCTTTTTGACCAGATTCACCACAGATCTGGCTGGAAAAGGCCATATCTATGGCCTGTTGTGGCCGCGACGACCGGAAAAGGCCAAAACGACGGCCAAAGATATGGTCGTCGTTTTCGGTCAACGATGGCCAAGATTTGGTCGTCGTTGACCTCAACGACCGCCATTTCTTTGGCCATCATTCACGGCTAGATCCGTGGTGGATCTGACCGGAAAAGGCCAGATCGGTGAACTTCAAGCCATTTCTGGTTGGCAGGTAGGCCGTTGTACAGATTTCGGCAACCACTTATCACCGATGGTGGTTGCCGGAATCTGGTAAGTATGGGTTGTAGTGGTGTTTTTGATAATTTTTAAACTTTTTTTAGGGTGTATTTAATGAAATTAATAATCTTATGGGGTCTAAAAGTAATTAAAAAATAGAGTAATATTTCTGGAATAATGTGTCAAACATTATTTGGAAAATAGGATTAGAAATATGGGTAAAAATAATAAGCCAAACATACCCATTGATATTAATATGTGAGATTTTTTTTTGTTTTTTTTTGTTTTTTTTTTTTTGGTAATCGACGGTGCATTGACTGACAGGCCTACTTTCCATGAAGAGCTGACGCGTGGATCTCGGTCCACTTGTTATAGTTTAATGAAATTGTGAATTGTGAATCTGTGATGCAATAGCAGATGGCTGTACAATGTGTTTTATTTGAGGACTCAAACTATTTACTAGCCCGGTAGCAATATCGGGCCCATATTAGTTTTTGGATTATGATATTGATTATACTTTTTGGGTTTTGATTTTCAAGCCTCACCTTTTCTTTTAGTAAGCCCCACACTTATTTAGAGTAAGGATAAAATAGTATTTTCCTTTGGCTTTGGATATGGAAAGCGTCCCCCACAACAAAGTTAAAGAAGAGAACAAACAATGAACAAACAGATTGCAACTTTCTTAGGTTAGTCTTACTGCACTGCATGGTCCACACAAGGAATTGTATTCCTGTATAATTTTTTACTGGAATTAAGAAAATATATTCGTAATATATGCTTGTATTTTTGTTATGTGGAATGATCTTCTTCTAATTCGTTCATTCTTTCCNGCGTCCCCCACAACAAAGTTAAAGAAGAGAACAAACAATGAACAAACAGATTGCAACTTTCTTAGGTTAGTCTTACTGCACTGCATGGTCCACACAAGGAATTGTATTCCTGTATAATTTTTCACTGGAATTAAGTAAATATATTAGTAATATATGCTTGTACTTTTGTTATGTGGAATGATCTTCTAATTCGTTCATTCTTTCCTTGTTGATGTAGTGTTACTTTTTATTGTATGCTGAGAGAGAAGTTGCCACACAGTATCCAAATCCTTCATGAATCTTGAATCTGCAATTCCTAACTGTGACAACTTCCAGCATCCAAGTCACTATTAGGACAGTAAACGAGTCAGGCTAAACTGAGCCGAGCTTTCGGCCTGTCAAGCTCGACTCGAATGCTATAGGATCAAGCTCGAGTTCGAGCTCGAACTTGTCGAGTTAGGGAAAACGTGCTCGAACTCGAGCTCGTTCCAAATGAGTCGAGTTCAAGCAAGCTCGCAAGCTCCAATTTGAGCCAGCTTGTGAGCTCCAGTTCAAGCCAGGCTCGTTAAGGCTCAGTCAACCTGGGTTTGACCTGCGCCAATTTCAACCTTGTAGACTTTTTTTTGCTCCTGAACCTGTTTAAATACACATTTTTGCATCAAAAAATAGCTACTGTGTCCTCAATGATATTAACCATGATAGTTTTGTATAGAAAATTAAGTTAAGTGAACCAACTTTCTTATTTTAATTCACTTCACTTAATTAATGTTTGAGCTACAAAAATAATCACATATTAACATGTGATTTTATCAAAATAGAGTCATAAT